GAACGGTCGCTCCGGGATGCAGAGATAGCTACCCGGGCTCTTGTCTGCAAGTCTGCACTGCAGTGGTTGCAGTGGTTCGTTGTTGGACGGACAGAGGCTGACTGGTCAACTCACCTCCTACGACTCTACATTTTGCGCTCTTGATGTCAACCGCCATCACGTTTTTCGCAATGTTGCTGTTTTCTGCTCTTTCATTCACGACCACGCTCCCTTCCGAAGCCCAGATTCCCGCTTCCGAGAAGAGCCGTCTCTTATCAGAGGGACGAGTGGATTCGGGTATCCATTTCTCCACTGCGATTGTATTTGTCACCGGGGAGGGGGAAGGGGGCCTGTGGGCTGTGGGCGAGCCCAATCTTGCGGGGTTGGATTTCCACGTTGAGGAGCATTGCCGGTGTGGATGTCGGCGAACATCGTGAGGAATTCAAGGTGAGCTTCTAAGGATAGAGAGAGTACCTTGCGTTTCGGGACTGGTATGGGACAATGGTACGCAGGCAGGTAGGACGACATTAGAACACTGGAGCCATGGCAATCTGAACCGTGTGCCCGGGTAGTCCGACCTGCGATGTCCAGAAAGGGCATCGTTCTATTGCCGGGGGAGGCATCGATTCACAGGCAATGGTTCGACAGCCAGCTGATAAGATTTGGGGGAACGAAGACGACGACGAGACGAAAGCCAACGCGGTAAGGATCGTGATAGGACGAGATAGCGGGTGGCACGACACCCTCTTGCATCTCCTCACTGCTGGTCGTTCCTCTGCGTACGCGAAATGCATGAGCACCGCTGCACCACGTGAGCCACGTCTATCTCCAGCGCGCTCCCTCAGCCCGGTTCCATCCAAAGCATCCATCGACGCCGCCAAGCCCGTTTTCCCCAAAGTGATCGACCTCTTCGTTCTGTTGCAGCGAGTGTTCCATTGCAGCCAACGCTTTCAATGGGCTACCCAGGAGAAGGAGGGGGAAGAGGTGCATGATGGGGTGGGCAATGACATCACGAGCAACACGAGCTGGAGAAACAAGCCTTTTTGGCGAGGTGACCTTTCCTCTTGCCTTATGGTTTTACCGCGCTGTAAGCTGTGGTTACCCTATAACCGATCAATTCCTGGGGAAAGACGGACTGGCTTGGAACGTGGGAAGATGGAGTTTCAAAGATCATAGGACGCCAACACCGCGCTCCCGATAGGAGGAGTGTTTAACCCCCTCTATGCTTCTCCGAGTTACCCGGAATCTAGTCGTTTTTCACGAACAGACAAACGCGGACGGTTATCTTCAACCTCACGATGAAGTTGACGAGAGGCTCACTAGGTGGGAGATAGAGATGGCGAAGTCACTGATACACAGAGTCTACACACCGCGGTTAAACATGATTCAGCATCCCAGCCGTCAGGCAAGGCGAGACTACCAGAAATGGGTGTGTCCTGGTGCTGTCTGGGTTATGTCCTGATACGCACGAACCAACGAACCAACGAACCAAGCGGCGCCCCAAAGTGGTGGTGACGGTTATAGTGGTGGTAGCTCGACACGCACAAGGCTAGGGAACACGCTTACCACACCCCAGGGACCCAAACTGGCCTGTCATCGTAATCAATCATCAAAGGCCGCCCCGAGCTGCCAGCCTGCTAAAGATAATCGCGGTCCCGGAGGTGGGTGGTCCCCTTGTCTGGGTTTTCCCTCCTCGAGGCTCGTTACCGGCTGGCTGCACCCAAAACCGCCCCCGTCTGTCAAGGCGCCACAATCAGGTTTCCCACTTTAGATGGTGGGTACGTAGATAAAGACGATCATCAGAGTGAAGCATCAATTCATGCCATAGGCAGTGTGACAAGACTAGAGTTTAGACGTTGTTGAATGTTCTAGACAATGAACAATCATTGAACAGGCGGAACCACGAATTCGAATACAACAAATAGCCCAGACAACTCGGCTTCAGCCCAAGAAGCTTGGGCAAGCTGAGAGATCCACTGATCGTGAGCTGTGCATCTCGGCGAGTTTCCACTTTCTCTCCTCACTTCCGTCAGGTCCTTGCGGGGCGTGGGGGAAACGAGGAGGCGGACAATTCGTCTGTCTCTTTCAGACTCTCTCGGCTTTCTTACTGGCAGTCTGGCAATTGGCAAATGGAAGTGAAGAGGAGCAAAAGATTAGCGCATCGTCTTGAACGAGAGAGCTCCATGCCCAGGCCGGGGCCCCCCCTCACCAGCTATCCTACCACCACCCCGGCCCCGGCCGCAGCCAGGCCCTCCCGTCCGTTTCTTGTCGCATTGGACGTAGCCGCGCTTCTGTGTCATTTGAATGTGTGTGTGACTCGCCCCGTCCCCGTAGATGGTACTGGGCCGGGCTTGCTTCAAGCTTGACTGCCGGATAGACTAGTCTAGTCTGTACCCTGGACCGAGACCACTCTTCTTGCGTGTGTTGAACGTGGTTTAGTTCTAGTCCGTAAGAAAGCTGATGGAGACATTGGAGAGAGTCTGGGCTACTAAAGAATGGCTTAGTCCCCTTTTCTTACCACGCACCTCGGTTCCCATGTAACGCACGCGGTCTTTTTCTTCACTGCCAAAAAGACGCGGTTCTACCCTTTTCTCGTGGAGTGTGTGTGTGTCTGTGCCAACATTTTCATTACGTTCATTTAATACTCCCTCCTCCATTGACCCATCCTCCTCCCCCGCAAACTCGTCCGTCTACCCCGTCCCGTCGAGAAACGTCACCGAACGAGGCTGTCCGAATCCGGGGTTCTACAACAACCACCAACAAAAGCATTGAGTGACGTCTACTCCTACATACCCCAATCGACTCCCTGCGGTTCGATTGAGTCTTCCGCCACCCGTGGACTGACACCACACGATATCTTCAACTGAACACTCACGATCACCACCGACTAAACACCATAAACATGGAGGAAGCGGCCCCCCGCGTCTCCGCCGACCAGGCCCTCGCCCGACTGGGCTACAAGGCCGAACTCCCGCGCAACCTGTCCATGATGTCCATTCTCGGCCTCTCCTTCGCCATCATGGCCGTGCCCTTCGGTCTCAGCACCACAATGTACATCACCCTGACCAACGGCCAGGCCGTCACCGTCCTCTGGGGCTGGGTCCTCGTCTCCATCATCTCCCTCTGCATCGCCGCGTCCCTCGCCGAGATCTGCGCCGTCTACCCGACCGCCGGCGGCGTCTACTACTGGTCCGCCATGCTTGCGCCCGCCGGCTGGGCCCCGCTCATCAGCTTCGTCGACGGGTGGCTTACGCTCGTCGGCAACTGGACTGTTACCCTGAGTATCAACTTCAGCGGTGCGCAGTTGATTCTCAGCGCGATTAGTGTTTTCAACGAGGACTTTGTCGCCAATGAGTGGCAGACTGTGCTCTGCTTCTGGGCTGTCATGTTGGTTTGCGCTGGAGTGAATGCGTTTGGATCGCGGTACCTGGATCTGATCAACAAGGTAAGCTTCGCCTACCCCGAGTTATTGGGACCAGAATAAGCGTGCTGACGATGTATCGAATAGGTCTGTATCTACTGGACTGGTGCTTCCGTCCTCATCATCATGATCACGATCCTGGTCATGGCCCCGAGCAAGAGATCTGCCGAGTTCGTCTTCACCCACTACGACGCCTCTGCGAGTGGATGGGCTTCCGGCTGGTCATTCTTCGTTGGTCTGCTCCAAGGTACGTTGACAAACAACCTCACCACAAGGAACAAGCCAATTGACTCTTTTCCCAGCTGCCTACACCCTCACCGGCTACGGCATGGTCGCCTCCATGTGCGAGGAAGTCCAGAACCCCGAACGCGAAGTCCCCCGCGCCATCGTCCTCTCCGTCGCCGCCGCCGGCGTCACCGGTGTCATCTACCTCATCCCCATCCTCTTCGTCCTCCCCGACGTCACCATGCTCCTCGAGGTCGCAAACTCCCAGCCTATTGGCCTCCTCTTCAAGACCGTCACCGGCTCCGCCGCCGGCGGCTTCGGTCTCCTCTTCCTCATCCTCGGCATCCTCATGTTCGCCGGCATCGGCGCCCTGACCGCCGCCTCCCGCTGCACCTACGCCTTTGCCCGCGACGGTGCCATCCCCGGCTACAAGCTCTGGGCCCGCGTCAACCACAAGCTCGACATGCCCCTCTGGGCCCTCGGTCTGTCTACTGGTGTCGACATGATCCTCGGCTGCATCTACTTCGGCTCCAGCGCCGCCTTCAACTCCTTCACTGGTGTTGCCACCATCTGCCTTTCTACCAGCTACGGCGTGCCCGTCCTCGTGAACCTCATCCAGCGCCGCCGCGCCGTCGCCAACTCGCCCTACCCGCTCGGCAAGTTCGGCACCGCCATCAACTGCATCTGCATCGTCTGGATCTGCTTCGCGGTCATCATCTCCTGCATGCCCGTCAGCTTGCCCGTCGACGCCTCGACCATGAACTACGCCTCCGTCGTATTTGCCGGGTTCGCCTTCATTGCTATTACGTGGTACTTTGCCTACGCGAGAAAGAACTTCCACGGACCCCCGGTCGCCAAGGAGGAGTTCCAGCCTGGGCCGGAGGGCACGCTGGAGGGAAAGATTCCGGGAAATGTTGACTCGGAGACGACGGCGAGTACGGAAAAGAAATGATTCTTTTGGCTTTCTTTGTTTTGAGATTTGAGTAGAAGCTGATTGGTTTGTGGGATCAGTTGGCGTGTACGTAGAAGTTGATTTGCCTTTTGTTATGATACCAATTCGGAATGGCTCTTGAGGGTTCGTTCTAACCAAATTCTATTGAGACCGCATTCATTTCATCTACTCCTCATTACTCCGGTGCTTCCATCAGGCTTCAGTTATAAGTCTGCATGGAACGCGCCATGGCGTGAACAGTCAAGCTTTATGAGTCGACCCCATCAGTCCCCAATGTACTTCCCATGGGCGTCAAAAGGCCGGGCTCCTGGCAAGAACTTCATGATCAGCAATCGAGCTGTTTGATCTACCCATGCCATTGTGAAGTCATTCACCGATGTTATCAGCCCTTCTTGGCGCGTCGAGGGGGCTGGAGTGAGAAGAGGCGGTAGGTAGAAGAGTCGGTGCCCGTTCCAAGCAATCCAAGTCCCCGTTGAGTCGAGTGTAAAGCCATGCCACTTTGCTGATCTAAGAACTGGCGCCGGATCTTTTGAAAGTGGGGAGCTTCTTCGAGTTGAGCAACCTCAATTTCCCCTTGTTCGTCGACAAAAGCCGCTTGTCTAGGGGAAAGATGACCTCCCCGGTACCGGTGCCAGTCGCGATGACGTCGAGACAAGCCCCTGAAGAGGTTCTCCAAATGCGAATCGTACCGTGCTCATCAAGACATGCGAGCCTGTGGGAGTCGGGAGAGAAAGATATAAATTGAATCCCTGGTGTGTAAGTGTAGACTTTAGTATAAGAGCCATCTCGTCTCGTCGTAAATCTTTTTTTCTTTCTACACCATATCGTAATCGCGAGCGAAATTCCAGTCGATGAAGCGATGTATTTCGAGTTGGGTGAAGCTAGAAGCCTTTGATCGATCCTTCCCCCCTGCCATGTGGGCATATTGCATCAGATTCGTCGCCAGAGGGTGTCGAAACTCTTATCAGACCAAATATATCCGTATCACAGGACACAACATAGTCAGATTTCATCAGGGAGTGCGGCGAGCAGCAATTCTCGAAGATCTGGCCCCGAGAGAGTCCATAAGCCGAGAAGAAGTAAACCTCACTGTTGTAGCGAGTGCTAAGCAACAGGTATGTCGAGTCGTGTGAGATTGTGAAGCTCATCGCTGTGTGATTCGGAGTGAAATTCGCGCCTAAGCTCCAATGTCCGTGACCGTCACATCCCCAGTATAGCAACTCCGATTTATGTTGCTGGACCAATGTCCTGCCATTGCTTGACAGTCTAGCCAGTGATGCCCCGACAATGGAAGAAAAGCTCCATGTCGTACCAATGTAATGAGCCGGGCAACGGGAGTTTGCGGCTAACCACAAACGCAGATGTTCACCAGCGCCACCGACCTCAGAATGTAGAGAAATGATGAAGCCCGGGTTTTCGGGAAAGATACGACACGCCACGGCGCTGTCTGTCGACGTTGTTGAGGCTTTCTCCCACATATTCGTGGCTGGCTGTTCGAGTTGCTCGACGGACCAGAGAGTACATGTAGCAATTTGAATGTCTGCTACAGCGAGGAAATTGCCATCTGGCGACAGTGCTAGAGTAAGCTCGTTCGCACGCGTATCGTGTGGGTACCTTTTGTAGAAGACTTCCCGGACGGTGTGGTTCGACTCGAAAGATCGGATCTCAATACGATGGTGTTTCTGACAGAGTGCTACCAGTCCCGATGCGGGCGAGAAAGCGCTGTGTATATACGGAAGAGAGTCCATCTTGACGGTCTGAGTGTAGACGCCTTGACTACAGCACCAGAACCTAACTGTCCCATCGCATGTTCGAGACAGTAAGATCCCAGATGGTAGGAATAACACCAATAACACATTTTGGGAATCCTCCAGTGCCTGGAGACACGTGCCACCATGAATCGACCAGATTTTGATATAGCGTCCGGCAGATCCAGCCACTAGCTTTGAATCTTGCGACACTGTGATTGATGGACGAAGCGAGTCTTTGCCGTCGATGGTTCCGAGGAGCCTGAAAGCTTTCCCTTCAAGAGATATCAGCCCATATTCGACAGCTAAACCCCAGGACGCGATAGCCACCGTGGCCGAGCATCGAGATATGTCCAATGATACGATTTTTTGTCTCGTCGAAGCAGTCTCCTGGACCAATTCCCCTGATTCCGCAAGATGGATCATCAATGAATAGGTGGATGAAGATGCAACTCGCCTTGAGTCGCTGAAGAAAGCTAGAGCGATGACAGCATCCTTATGTGCACGTATGACCTGCAACAAGGTACCAGTGAGAACTGTGCGAATTACAATTGTTCCATCCGATAGTCCCAATGCCAGGAGCTTTTCGTTGGGCGAAAAGCACAGCGAGTAAAGATATGTAGACGTCTTATCCGCGATACGGAATGAATGGAGTTGTGAAGTCCAGTTTGAACCCACAGCGGGCTGCATCGAGATGAATTTCGGAATCCACTTCTTGAATATTTTACGGACCACACTACCGCTAGGAGCGAAGAGAAGTGCAGAAAAGTAGACTTGACGAGGAAAAGCTTCGAAAGACAAGATTTGGCTCGTCAAAAAGCTCTTGATGTCTTGTATCAGGTCCCGAAGTAAACCGGGGTCGTCAGCCTAAGCAAGCAACGTCAATGTCTACCCAAATGAGAAGTCGAGATTGAGCGTACCATTTTGAGAGACAGTAACGCATTGGCGAATTCTATGGATTTTGTTGCAGATCCCAGAATAGCCAATGCCTCGATCCAGTGAAGAAAGTGAACTTTGAGAAATTGGTGGACATGGTCGTCAGCTCGCAGTGCGTACTGAGCTTGAGTGAGATGTCCGACCCAGTGGAGACAAGCATATTGAACTTGAGATGGCAAGCGATCATTGATCAGCTGTGTCGGTATTTCTCCCAATTCAGTACCCGGAGATAAGTCACAACAGTTCTCCCGCAGGGGCTCTCGAGTGTGAAGCAGCTCTAAACTGGCGAGACCGAGTCTCCTGTGGCATGCGACCCTGTTGATGCGAAAGACTCCTGCTCCTGCACTTAGCAGAAAGTCTCGGAACGACGTGTGAAACAATTTCAATGGTTGATGCTTCTCTCTCCTTGTGTCGATGATTGACCGCAACGCCGCAAGAAAAGAAGTAATGGCATCTGGTTCGACGGCAAGCATTGCTCCTAAGGCTTGAGTGCTCAACAGCCTCTTGAGCAGGATGATGGTGCCAACAATCTCACTGAATCTCGCAAGTATGACGGCTTGTTCTGACTTCCTTCTTTTGATCAACAGGCCTTCAAGTACTGGGAGGTAAGTTTCCTCTAGCTTGTCGTTGATCGTAGTACCGCCATTGGCACTTTGGTGTTCAATTGTCCGCATCAATTGGGTCTCCGGGCTACCGAGTAGTGAATCTTGTATAAAGCGGCAAGCGGTTGCCGCGAAAATGAATAGCGGAGTGGCTTTCTGTATCAGAGTCTGAAGTCTTTCAGCACCCGGCCAGTCTGCGTCAAGCGTGGCGTCGTGTTCTGCATTCCAATCCTCTCTTATGTTGCTTAGTTCGTAATCGAGGAACACTCCTATATCATGGTCAATGGTGTCCTTGGACACCTCATGAAGGATAAATTCCCTATACGACCCCAAAATTGGACGGCATGCGAAATGCACTGCTGTATCCGGTCGACTGGTGATGAAGACCTTGATTCTGCAGAAGCTGATTTCAGCAAGCTCATGCAACATGGGGATTAGGAGTTTTACATCTCCTTTGTTGTCGCACTCGTCAAGGGCATCAACTATAATGATACTAGATAGGACACTCCCAGACCCTTTGTAGGCATTTTCCAGAGGGCCAAGGAACAGCTTGTCGAACTGCTCCCGCAGGTTCTTGTGGGAAATATCGTCCTGATCCTTGATCGCTTGAAGGACATACGGTTTTAGCTCGCTTCGATGAGTGACGAGTTGTCGAGCTATAGTGCCGAAAAAGCCTGAGCCGTTGCTGCGGTCACTTTCTCCCCTTTTGAAGAAGAATGATGCGCCAAGAAGCTTCAGACTGTCGAGACGTTTTGCTATGGTGCGAGAAATGGTGGACTTCCCGGTTCCAGCCAGTCCGCTAAGCCAGAACATGCGCTGGTCGTCGAAGTCCCCAGCCCACGTATTTATACGATGGAGAAGATCCACGCGTGTATTCTCTAGACACTCTGGCTCATTCTGATCGTCGTAAGTATCGAAGCATGCACCCTGTGAGACTTTCAACTTGGCAAGGGTGTTGTGGCCAATGTGCGTTTCGAAGTCTGAAAAGTCTTTCCCGGTATGAATTCTTAGAATAACGAACTCCTTAGTGAGGTAAATACGTTACTTACACTTAGACAACTCGTCTGAGATTCTCTCTTGCTCCTCGAGTTTGGCTCTTGATATCCGGCAAATCAAAGCTTTTGCATAAGCAGCAGCAACCAAAGCTGCATAGCCTTGCCAAACATCGTTCTTGTGAGTATCGCAATAGTCGCAAATTCCTTTGACGACAATACACGGGAAATGGTTCATCAAGCCCGCAGCCTCCATCTCAAAGCACAGAATGTCATGATCCTTTACTAGCTTGTCTCGAATGAAAGCATTCTTTATGAGCTGGTTAGCCGATGTGACTAGGCCGTAGTGTATTGCAGGTCGCCGCGGATTCGCTCGAGATTGTCTCTGAACGAAGGAGTCGGGGTGCAGGTTGGGATGAGGTTGACCATCGTCATGGACAATCTTACTGCGATACAAGTTGTCCAGGTGGACACCTGGGCGACCAAACTTTCCCTAGATGTCTGGATATAGACGTCCCTCGACTTCTTGTTCCAGCAAGCCAGGTTGAAGCATGAGTTCTCCTTTCAAAGCGTTGACGGCGGTCCGGATAGCGACAGGGGGTTGGTCGAGATGTCCCCGAATGTGAAACTCTCGATCTTGTATGGTCTTCCCATAGTCGTACTGTAATACACCCCCGTAGCCCCGTCCTGGAGAGCTTACCACGACGTCGCCTAGCCTGATGTCGTTTTTGCTGCTAGGCGCACCACCACCAATGCCGACCATGAGCCCGACCCTCACATTTTCAAAGGTATGCAGCATATCTCGTCCTACCTCCGCAGCGGAGGTCGTTCCGTATTCTCCCTCGGGAAGAACTGCAATGACAACATTATGCGACCCTATGCGACCCAGCGCATTGTTATCGTGTTTTGATACCGACAATGGGTCCTCGTGGATTTCGTCCAAGAACAGTTGGGCAACCGCAAATTCGGTTGCGATCGCGCAGATCCATCCGACGGTGTACTTTCGGGGGTCGGAAATGATTGTGTGAGACAGGCTTCGATGACAGATCCCGAAAACCAGGTATTTGAAGACATTAAACTGAGTTTTTCTACTTCACTTTTGTCCCCGAAAATGGTACCGAGAGCTCGGGACTCGTGACGAAGTTGAACTCCCAATTGAAGCAAAGGAAAGAAGGGGGAGGTAAGACACCGGTCAAGCTAGGGGGCTCAATGTCTTTTAAGCAGACAGCGGAGGCCAGTGAGCTGAAAAGCACCAAATTTTCATGCGGCGCAGTCACATGAAGCCACCAAGAACAAAGTCGTACTGCACACTTCATTGGCTGCCAGAGCGAGGCTCCCTGCTAGTCATAGTTCCATGTAGATAGCGGTGAATATACACGAGTGACCGCGAATGGGCTTACTTGGACGCGATAAGTATTTGAAGGACGCCGAAGTATTGATGCTATGTTCACTGAGCCCAGGTATTTAAGGTAGACTACCAATAACTTCAAAAAAGAAAAAAAGTTGTTGAATTACCTAAAGCAGTTTATGCTCAACCAGATCAGAGATACTGGTCATCTTTGGTGCTTTCCCCAGTCATTCAATCATAAGCCTGCCACGTTTGAGACATTTGAAGCCCCTCCACCAAGGATCCAAGTCTTCCATCGATGGCAAAACCATCGGTCTCTAGCCTCTCAAATTCGACATGGAGACTGTCCAAGGGCAGTGAGAAACACTCTATGAACTCTCCTTCCTCCAAGCGCGGCTTTGGTTTGCGGTTTTCCTTTGCCCGCATGTCAATATCCACATGGACCATCACAGAACAGGAGCTAAAGGGAGTAAGCACTCCAACGATGAGATTTGGCAAGGATTGAGAGTGACAAACTTGGAGAAGCCAGGGGCTTGTAGGACATTAGCACTCAAGGTCGTTAATGCAGCTCAGATTGGCTTGGTGACTTACCACCGTAAAGCCTGGGACGATTTCCAGGATTCGGCTTGACGGTGCCGACTTATCCTGTCTCTTCAGCGAGTTCGCGGACCGCACACTGCTCGATCGTTTCATTTTTGTCGACCAGCCCCGCGGGAAGCTCGATGCAGACTTTGCCCACAGCTGGGCGAAACTGTCGCTGAAGAAGAAATTCTGGGCCAGTGTCTTTCTTTATCACGGCAATGATGTGGACCGCGTCGACGGAGCTGCCTGCCGCGCGCGTCTTTCTCTCTACTCCCTCCAAGACGCGCTCCTTACCATCGACGTCTCTGTACTTAATCCTAGACGACCGGTTAGATCCGTTGAGCTCTGTAGCTCCATCCAAAATACTCGTCTAAGGGATACCGACTTGACCAATGTCATCCATTTGGCATCTCCAATCTCCTGTAGGATGAATCGTTAGCCGTGTTTGTTGATCCAGGATGTCAATTAAACTTCCTGCGCCTTACCAGAGGCTCAGATGAAACTACGTGAGGATTCAATTTGTCTGCCATGTTGAGTACGCAAGTGTTCCGACGTATGCAAGCCTGGATTGATGGAGATCTTCAATGTGGTCTTCTTTACCATTCACACCGTTCAAGCATGGAGGGGTAAAAATTGGTGGGGTGGAGGGGCAAGCCAAAAGTACGGGGTTGCATCTTCAGTCAAAGGAGGCGCGTTTAATTGACTCTGACCTGGGGACACGAGTTGCTGGGGTTCGGGAGGCTGGTATCATGTATTTCCGTCACTCTTTAGCTTCATCCAAAGCTTTGCTTTTAACACAGTCTTTCCCGGATCTAAATTTGGTTGGTACTCAGTCCGCCGGGCGCCATCGGAAAGGGTTGTTCTCTTGAAGGTGCCACACATAGGCTTGAGCCGCGAGACTCAAGACGCGGTACTCATCTTCACCCATCTCATGACACTCGGCCCCAGACAGACTTATCAAAGCCATGATTTTGAGCGACGCCAAACCCTGCTCTCCACGCTGCTTCGGGTCGGTCTTGCGCCGCAACATGTCCAGTGCCTCCTCCCACGTGCCCTGAACCATCTGGACAGAGCTAAGACTGAGTTCTATCTCCCTATCTCCAAGGAAAACGCCCAAGCCGTGAGAGCTGAGACGCACATTCGAAAGTGTGAGCCGGTGAAGGTTCGGCCATGGTTGTGTTTGAATAAACCAGTTGAGATGCCATGGTCCTTGCGCACCTATCTCGATGGTGTCTGCGTCGCGGCTAAACTCTTCCAAGTCGATCGAGATGCGCTCTATATTGTCCGTCATGGTAAGAACACTGAGAAGCTTCCCACAGCCTTCAAAGCCGGCCGCATCGTCAAACTTAGGCCAGGTGACCTGGGGTCTTCTGGAATTGCCGTCGCTGAGAATGTATTTGCTCGTGAAGTCGAGGCACCGGAGCCGTTCAGTGACCAAAGTGTATTCATCTATTGTCGGCTCATCCCTCACCTGATCAAACGCATCCCAGAGGTGCATCGGAGTGACTTTCACAGCGAATCGTGTCAGGAAAACATTGGTAGCGCCGAGAATGCCTGGAATAAATCCGAGGGGCCGTCGAGCGCAGATGAGGTCGTCTTCTAGCTCATCAACCCCTTTCGCCGCGTGCTCCCAACGGTAGGGAGTTATGAGAAATTGGTACAGCTCATCTTCGTTGACGAGGGCGTCTCCCTCAGGTGGGGTCCACTGAGGTTCGAATGTGTCACTCATCTCCAGTCTCGTGGCGTTCGGCATCCGTTTCATTGCGAATGATACCGTATCTGAGAAGCTGTGCCATCTGTCATCGTGAAGGTGTTTCTGCTCCGCCTCAAGGCGCGCATATGTGTCGTATGCTTTCCCAATCAGGCTTTCGTGGAATGGATCTGAAAGCTCCCGATCCCACGGTTGATTGTCCGTCAACCTGTCTAAGAGATCGAATATCGCCTGAAGTTTCTCCTTTGCTCCGTCAGACAACATGTCTTTGTGCGACATTCCATGCCAAAGTTCCCGTTCGAATAGATTCTCAAGCCTTTGCTTCGCCATGAGAATGAACTTTTCCTGTGCGTACGCCGCGAGTCCATCGTAGAAGCCCAGCGCGATACGGATGCAGCGCACGCCTCGTCCGATACTCGCATGTCGAGAAATCGCATTCAATCGATCGAGAGATTTTCGTGTGACGTGTACAGTGACGGTGGGAACTTAGTAAGGTGATGCTGCTTCGCACAAACGTCTGCAGGTCAAGCGAAGAGACTTGAGGGCTTCGATGTCTACCTTGCGCCTCATGTGTGGTTGCGACCAGGTGAAGTCGCTCTCCTGCGCCGACACGCTGTCGACATGAGAACATATTTGATCTAGAAGCTCAAAAGGCAATTCCAGAAGCCTGCTGTTCGTTGGATTGAGAATGTTTCGAACATGTGCTCGAAGGGTGAATCCATGTTCGACAAAATCCGAGTAAGGGCCGACTTCGTCTGGTTTTGCTCTCTTCCGTGCTTTCCAGTCCTCCAGGCTGAGTTCCGGGTGGTGGTTGATAATCTTCTTGAAGGTCGGGTCAACTTCAATCAACCGCCGGTAGAGTCTAGAAAGTTCTTGGCTTGGGTTGGTGTTCGGCTCTTCCACCGCTGTTTGATTGATGGCTGCGGAAACATTCCGCATATCAAACGTGAAAGGTGCCATTCTTGGGCATACTACGCTCGCTGCCTGCGGAATCCTACTCCCTGCCTTTGGAAAGTTTTAACAGAGCGTCGACTTAGTTTCGAGGGCCGAGGTTATTCCATTTGAGGGCATTGTTTTGAGATGCTGGATGTTTTTGGAGTTGTGAACAAGGAACAGCAATCTGAGTTTGGGCAGGGCGTGTCGCGTCTTGACGCGTGACGTCACGTGAAATCGCCCTCACCACTTTGTGAGCGAAATCTTCGCGGAGACTCTTTATGCTGACCTTCAGATGTCGGAACATGCCAAATGGTGAAATGAAAGGTGGCTTCCTTGATTTGATCAAAGAGGAGAACCGATCGCTGTGTCGATGCTTGTCTGACACTCACACCCATGCGTACATGCAGAATACAAACTCCGAATTACTCACGCAATCCTCGCGAAGAGCAGTCGACAAGGAAGAGATCAAATTTGTCAAGATGAGGGGGCGATGACAAAGCTGCTTTACATTTCAGGTTGGATATAATTCGAACCTGGCTGCGAACTTTCAAATCCAACCCGAGCATGATATCAGATTATCACACGTAGACAATCCTTTCGATACTTCGTCGCGCCTAGTATTCCCTATACCGGCGCAGGTTGTATCGCATTTCGTACTCTCCCGTCTCATTATTATCCCATTGACTGCTGCTTAACGTCAGCGGAGCCGTACCCATATTAATACCCGCCTTTACCCCGCACTTCAATCGGTACAAGACGAAACATCATTTACCCCTAACGTGGTTCATCAGTCAGCCGGCCGGACTAGTCAGCCGGACGTTTTTTCCCACGTCCATAACAACATCTAGTATTTCTCAACCACAACGCATTAAATCAATTATTGGTTGTCGCTATTAGAATCTCCTGATGATTCGATATCTTTGGAACAGGTTCGTGCATTATGCCCAGTCTTACCATACGCACCACAGCGTCTCCAAGTCGGCTGGGCTCTCTTTGATGGACCCCCCTCCTCATCTTCTCGAGGTGCTGGACGTTTACCTTTTTGTTTCTCTTCCAGCAAACCCTGAGATTCCTCTATACTAAGTGCCCCTCTAAGCTGCATACGCGACCTTTTAGCCCTCCGACGCTTAGCAAGTGCTATATTCGTATCCTCAAGGGTACGAAGCCGATTAGTCAAAATAGTGATTGAGTGCGCCATTGCCTGCGTACCCTTTGACAATTACTTAACTGCAGTAATAATTGGTGTCGGTGAGCTTCCTTTATGAGCAGAGATCCGGCTTTTGATAAAGTTAGACTGCGAGACGGCTTGTTGTGGGTTAGAGGGCGTTTACGACTGCCAAGGTGGTGGTGTTGAAGGGTTGGCCATAGGAGGTATAGGCGTCCGTAAATACATATCAAGCTTTTTGATGATATAGTCTGGGTCCCATGGTGAAATTCTAGCGCCTTGGAAAGCAGACCTGATGTTTTCCTCATTAAAAACCTTATTGTGGGCCTAGTGGAAAGCAATAAAGAACTTAGACTTGGTAATGTGATTTATGGAGGCTCTGATAAATAGGTTAATTTCATCACCGTATGCGCGTTTCAAAGGCGAATAAAGCGCAATATCTAATGGCTATAATAGATGCGACGAATATGCAGGCATACTGACCGTTATAATATTGTTCTGCTTACAGTAATCGTCGAATTCGGCCGATAAATGGCTCTTATAGCCGTCGATAATGAGCATCCGGTAGACGCCCTTAGTTCGGTTTTTAGTATGTTTGTCGAAGTGTTTAATCTAGTTAAGACCCGTTTGATTATCCGTCCATCCATTAGTAGTGGGCTTGATGACCCAGTTGCCCGGAAAACCTGATTCCGTAGTCCAACTGGTAAGGTGATATGCGCCCTTGACGATTACGAACGGAGGGATACACCACCCGCCCGAATTGATACATTTAATAACTATAGCCCATTCACGGTTACCCGGCTGGACAGACTTTGCTTTGACGCGTCGATCGGTGCGTGTTACCACCATTGACGCGGTGATCATGCCCATCATGAAGCTAGTCTTATCGAAATTATATAGGTCCTCCTCTTGGATTCCATACTTAGTTATTATGTTGCGTAACAATACAAACCACTTTGAAATAACCTCTGGGTCTTCTTGAAGAGCCCTTTGATAATCGTATGGACGATTAAACTTTGTTTTCAGAGTAGGCTGTGAGTCCACAAACCGCCTGGCCTATCGCTTGCTAACAGGCTCGGTATTATGCGCTCGTAGTAGGAGATTGGCTATATCTTCTATACCGCCAAGGTGCAAAGGAAATCCTCTGGAATCCTGTTCAATAACGTATTCGAGAAGTGTTTTCTTTTCGATCGGGTCGAGTTTATGTCGTTGGGGTTGAGTTTGTTTGCGTTGCGGTCGGTTGTTTATTTTATCGGCTAAGGTGCTCTTCGGGATACTGTAGGTCTTTGCGGCATGCGAAATGCTTAAGTTACTACCTGCAGCGCGTTTAATCGCAAGAATGACTTTGTCTTCTTGGGTGTAGATTGGTATTATGGTTGTTGAGATTTTACGCGTCAAAGGTTTAAGTGGTTTGGATATAAGTGTGTTTAGAAAAAAACGTCCGGCTGACTGGTCCGGCCGGCTGACTGATGAACCACGTTATGTTTTTTTGACTTCTATCACCACCAAAACCATCATTTCAACCAATGTTAAGATATCTTCCAGTGATTCTGATGCTTCCGATGCCTCTGTAGCTACCGATACCTCTGTATGGAGCTGTATATTTGTTGAGCTCCTTCCCGAAGACCTTGAAGTCGGCTGTACTGCCGACTGTACCCCGGAGAAGTGCGATAATAGCATAGTCCGGCCCCATGAGCCTCCGGCTGAGCCTGGCTTGCCCGGCTCCTTTATACCCTTTGATATACCGGCCCGGGACCAGCAAATACAGGACCTACCGGAAACGCCGATTAACCTTTTCCTCCGATACGTTCCCCGGAGCCTTGTTGAGCAGTGGGTCCGGTGGACAAATGCAGCGCCGATTTCTAAGGAGGGCCCTCAGCCTAGACACTTAAGAGTGTATAAGTGGAAAAAGACCTCTAAGCCTGCATGTTTCTGAAGGTTGGTGTTCCACGGACCCCACGGTCACGCCAAAACTGCATGACTCTAAGCTCTTCACCAGGAGTATACCCACTAGGGTTGTCGTCGAACTCCAAGTCGTCAGACCCTTTGGGACGGAAATATTCCATGTCACTCTCTTCGTCGTCCTCCTCGTCATCCTCTTCGTCGTCACCTTCGTTATCCTCTTCGTCCTCACCTTCCTCGTCGATTGCAGCGTTGCGTCCAGGAATGAACAGGCTGACGCCGTCAAGATCTTGTACGGTCATGTGCACCGGTGAATTGGTGATTAGATCTGTCAAAGGTACAGGGTTTTCTCCTAGAGTGCCCCTGACGTATTGCAGGGCTAGACTCGGCGTCGGAATTTCGGGGTTAGGGGGCTGGCCAGGACCCGGTGCAAAGACGCGCACTGACGGTTAGTCAGGGTGGCCAGCGGAATATGCATATGTGAGTGAGCAGAAAAGAGCGTCTATTCGTACTAAAGAGTGGATGGAATCACCACAGGCTTGTGGGCCTAATGCTATCCTAATAAGTCTTGCAGAGCTAGGACCAGGTGGAAATGACAGTCTGGCCTGTTTCGTGATGGTCAGACCATTCCGAATGGGTTATGTCCATGACTCGCGTAGAAGCATGCATGGATTCTGTCACACCCCCTCAGAGAGGCAACTGTTAAGTTGTGTCTCTGGATAAAGCAGAGCTATTGATAACTGATGATCAACGAGAGCGACAGAAGGTAGGGTAATGTAGTGTTGAAGACCAAAAATTGGTATTTCCCTTCTTTGAATTGTGTGGTGTTGTGACCACTACTGATCCAACCTGCAGATCATCCTTTGATAAGGAGGAGATTGCTCTCCTATGTTGCTTGCACTAACTCGGCTTCTTTGAGAGCGTTAACGTGTTGCTCAACATTTGCTATACCTAGCTGGGCTAGAAATCGGCTATGCTTTTGAGTTCTTGGCGAAGCCATAGGTTGTTGATGTTGATGTGACGAAGTTTGCTAGTCGCTTGAGGTCTCTCAGTGGTCAGGATTCTTAGGGTCGCTTGATTGTCGCATTGGAGATAGAAGTCACTATCGAGATCAAGTTGAAGTTGATCGATAAGTCGGATAGTAGCCCTGTATTCCTTTGCTGCTTGAGTGAGGGCAACTAGCTCAGCTTCTGTACTAGAAGTGACGACGCGACGTTGTTTAGATGAGCTCCAGCTGATAGGACCACCAAACATCATCATCACATATCCCTGGGTGCTCTTGCGAGTGTCGACGTCATCAGCAAAAGAGGCGTCTGAGGCGCAGAAGAGAGTTCCTGGCCCTTGGGAGTTGTATTCAATTGCAAGATAACGCGTGTGGTAGAGGTAGTCAAGGCAAGAGTCGGCTGCCTTCTTGTGACTAGCTGATGGATTGACGAGGAATTCAGAGAGCCTGGACGTAGTTCTGGAGATATCTGGTCTACTGATGACTGCTGCATAGTTGAGGGATCCAATAAGTCGCTGGTAGTGACGAACTTCAGCAGTAGTTGCTTCCTGATCATTAGGAACCAGATTATCAGTGCCCATTGGTGTTCCTGTTGGCTTCTTCCTTTTGTTGGCTCCGAATTCGTCGCAGATCTTAGCGATGTAATCATCAAGACTGAGCCAAAGCTTGCTAGCCTTGCGGTCTCTGATGACTCTTATACCCAGGAAAACACTCATTTCTCCCATGATCTTCATCTCATAGATCTCTTTAAGTCCTTTGACGACTTGCTGGGCTTTCTGTTCGTTCTTCTTGCGATAGATGATTGCAATATCGTCAACAAAGAAGAAGACCAGGACTCCCTTACCGATGAAGATACAGTCGTCTTCGTCAAGGGGAGAGAGACTAAGTCTCTTGAGTGTGTCTGAGAGGCTCTTTTGCCATAAGAGAGGGCTTCTTCTAAGACCATAGAGGGCCTTGCGAAGAATGAGGCAGGATCTTGGCCTATTATAGCCTGGAGGGAACCAGACATAGACCAGTTCGTCAAGGACGGCGTTAGTAAACGCATTTACAGCATCAAGCTGTAAGGTTTCCAAGTTGAACCGAGCCACAAGGGCCATTACGCTGCGAAATGATCTTCCAGCGAGTGTTGATGCATAGGTTTCTAACCCATTGAGTGGCTGGAGGTCTCCTCTCACACAGATCCTTGCTTTGAATCGCTTGAGAAATCCATGCTTGTTGAACTTGTAGGTATATACCCATTTGAGAGGAAG